ACATGCAGAAGTGAATAATCTGTTAAATAAGGTTATGGCCATGGGTATAAATTAGAATTTAAAACTGTTTTTAAATGGGAAATCAGAATCTGCATTCTGAGGGGAGTGATTGGAAACAAACAAGAGGTATGAAGAATCCTGTAGGATGGAATATGCTTTATGCAAAACTCCTAACTGATAGACGTGGGGCAGTCAGTACCAATGACTTTCTGACAGAGTTTGACAAAACCCCCCTGTTCGTACTTTCTCTTCAGATTCAGATTCCCATGTCAGCAGAGCAGGATATGAAAGTTAAAGCAGATTCAATAAAAGACTTATAAAACATCATAACTACAATTTATCAACTTTACAATGGTTAAGCTTCCTTAAGAAAAATACATGCTGTTGGCTTTTTAAAGAAAATAGAAGTAGCATTTGCCATAAAATTTAACTTAAAGTCCAGAACAGTCCCTAAATACTAATATTCATCTACCATTTTCACTGGTTTTCCCCTGATGCAGATATGACTGGGGGGTTGAGGGTTCCTTCTCAAATCACTTGCCATGTGTTTGATTTTAGAGACATCTAGTTTCAAATTGTTCTGTTCACACCAAGTGGCAAACCCATCTCCAACTGGCCCATGGCCCGACTCATCTGCTTGCAACAAACTAACAATAACAGATTATATTGTACAAATTTAAATGATTAATAATTATATAAAGTGTTGAGAGGTGATATCTCTTCCAATCATTTGTATGTACAGTAGGACAAAGTGTAGACAATACAAAACCACTGGGAGGGGCCAGTGGAGGAATATAGCCTGTTAGCATTGTTGACTCTTACCCTCTGAGTCCTACAGCATTTCTGAGGAAATCAGTAACCCAGCTGGCAAGATTAAGATCAAGACCAAAATTAGACAATACTTTAGTTGCCAGTAAATACAGCTGAATACAATTAAATACTGAAGAAAAATCCACATACAGTGGACTTACTGCATATATTTTATTTTCTATCAGTAACTTAGTGGCTTTGATCAGAAGCAGATGTTTTGATTATATTGCTCCATGATCAAAAGTGGCTGTAAATTATTAATAAGAGCTAATCTAAAAAAATGTACTTCTTGATTTTAACACCTAAAATAAAGTCTAGACTATCAGTTTCCATTTTAGCACACATGAATCATTCCCTTTATTTGCATTAAAGAGAAGCAAGACTGCCTGCCCAGAAATTCCCTAGCTGATCCTTTCATCTTGTTGGATATTGTCTGTTGTTTTCCAATCAACCATTTTATGACTTTATTATTTCCTTGTCAACATTTTTTTACAATAAAAGCAGGCCTGTTTACACAGGTTTTCCAACTTATAGGTGTCTTCAGTTCCTACTGTCCAGCTGAACCCAGTGGAAACCTCAGCTAGTTCACTGAATGTGAACTCTTTCATTTGTAAATAGAGCCCAAACTCACTTGGTTTATTGTTTGAATGCGAAGTGTCTTGCTGGCTCAGTATGCAGTTTGTTCACTCTGCCAACAGAATTGTGCAATTTCTTCATATATGTCCAGTGTTCAACACACTGATGTTGTGACAAATCAGGGATGTGATAAAATTAATGAATACTGAGGTGATAAAATCAATAAAATCAGGCTTTGACACCATAATATGCAGCCACATTATACAGATTAATGTTGCCCCTTAAATTCAGGGAATACTGTGTGTTACATGATACTGTTCTCTGGAACAGCATGACAACAGAATAACAATCAAGTCCAGATGTAGACAAATATTTATTAACAATACATCACACAACTATACTACACAACATTACACAATGTGCAAAGACTAGGGCAGATGAACAGATATTTACAGATCTGTGAGTTTAAGAGGCTTACCTTTTATAGACATAGAGTATCCCAAAATTTCCAAAATATTCTACAGTAAATACAGCACCTCGGCATGCTTAAGGAAGAGAACCTGCATCCAAATTATAAAATGATGGATCCTAATCAGGACTAAATCTAGCTCTCTAAACGAATGCTCACTTAAATAAGAGATTTGTCTTAAGCCTACAGATTCCACAACAACAGAAATAAGAATGATGATCAATGATGCCTGCTTTTATTTCTGTTCTGTCCATTTCTCCTCTCTCCTGTTTTTTCCTGTATCTATGCTGTGGTCCATTCCTAAGGAAATTGGCTTTATGACCTCATTTGGAAAGGCCCTATTACTGTTGAGTAGTTTCATATTGTGGTCTATGATTTGCAGTGATGTGCATTAACCTGAGTAATAGCAGTGTTAGGACTCTTTTTGGCCATCAGTATCATTCTTGTTCACTTTCCTCCTGGCACAAGAACACCTACATAAATATTGCTACACAAAACCCATTGTTTCAAACCTTGTCAGTAAGGCAATCAACATTAGAATTGCAATCTTTGCCAGCTTTGCTGAAACTCAGCCCCTCCACCCAGCCACAAACAGTACAAATGTGTCACTGAGTCTACTATCATTCAAGGAGGGTCAAGGAGGTTGAAGAAGACTCATTGTTAAAGAACCTTAGACATTATATCACTACAGAAATTTAATACTTTCTAATGATCTTTTTGTTTTTGCTCTTTGAAAAACTTAAAACTATGGATTTTATGTTTAAAGAAAAGACTACTTTTTATTTTTACTACAGCCAGCAACCATGTCACCCTGCGAGTCATAAGTCATACCAGTTTAGTAAGGTAGGATGCGTCAAGTGGAGAGAAATGTGAAAGAGAAGAACCACTACACTGTACTATTTAATAAACAACACAGAGAAAAAGAAGAAAGAGGAGAACCATCAAAAATAGGAATGCAGGGAGGAGATGTGGTAGTAACACGAATGGTGGAGAAAATGTGATGCTGGGTGTTATCAATTTCAGAAGAAATAAACTTAAAGAAAGTTGGGATGAAGCAGATAAAGTAATAGGACAGTCTGGCTTAAGCAGTCCCCCAAGAACAGGTACAGATTCTAGGATTGTTATGGGTGTTTTCAATGATGTGGGAGAAGTAGCTGGATCTAGCAGACTCCATTGCATCCTTGTATTCAATCGGGTGCTCCTTCCAAGACTGGAGATGTACATTCAAGCAACAAAGATGCCACCTACGGTAAGTTCTGGTTTGTGGGAGATGGCATTCATTGAGCGCAACTGGGCAGTATACCAAGGGGCAGGGAAAGTATAGGAGATGGTTCAAGTTTTAAGAGGTGCTTAGGTATCAAGAGTAGATAAAATGAGCTAATAAAATACTTGTACCTTGTCTTCTAGAGTTGGAAAAGCAAGAAAGAAGGACGGAGCAGAATCAGCAAACCCATGTAGTGCAGTCTGGTCCACCAGTTGCAAAAATTTACAAAGTATAAGTGTGAAGAGTGTGTGACAGGAATATCTACAGTACATCAAAGAGAACAGCCAAGTGATCAGAAAGGCCTAGTTCAAGATAAGTGGGAAACAAAGGAGTAATTTGCAAAGTATTCGAAGAAAGCTAGAGAATCTTTTGTTAAATTTTAAAGCTAGAGAATCTTTTGTTAAATTTTAAAGCTGTGAATCAATTAGAATATTAAAATCACCAAAAATAAGGATCTTTTTAAAACAGAAGCATAACAGTGAAAGTAAATCTGCAAACTAAAAATGCATCATTATGCTTGGGTAGGTCTTAAAACTGTAACAATGAATGCAGAATATGGAACAATGATTGTAAAACATTCAAAACAAGATACTAAAAGAAAGATGCAGAGGTACATAAACCAAACACACACAGAAAGGATCTTATGAATAACTATCAGGCCCCAACCACAACTAAAGGAGCAAACGTGCTTAAATAGACCATAACCTGGAGGGACAATCTTTTTAAACAGGAGACTGTCATTGTATCTCTGCCAGGTTTCAGTCAAGCACAGAAAATCAAGTTTTTTTGTAATTAAAAGACAGCCTTCATGTTAAAGTTGAGATGTTAATCCATTTTAATGGGATGATCGAATAAGACTGATTTGGCCATTCTCAGTGAGCCATGGGGTTGTGTGTTCCAGATGCACAAGTTAGTGTAGATTATTATAGTGTTTATATATTATATTATATTATGTTATGTTATGTTATGTTATGTTATGTTATATTATATTATATTATATTATATTATATTATATTATATTATATTATATTATATTATATTATATCATATTGTAGCCAGAGCGGGACATTTTAGTATCCTGGTGCTGAAAAACAAGTACCATAACAGCCAGATTAGGTAGTTACAAATCTGTGTCTTGAGCTGCAGTGGATGTATCGTGTGGGTCGCAAAATCCCAATATCCCAGCTATACTCAAAGGTAGATTTTTCTAGGAAGTAATTCCCTTTTTAGATGCAGTAATTGCAATGAGGTGTACCTTACAATCATTATGGTGCAATCCAGGAGGATGCTACAAAAACCAGGGTCAGGGGATTGCAGGTAGTTTTGAAGAGCACTTCAAAGGAGCAGCACAGCAGGTAGGCAGTCAACAGGAGAAATCAGGAAACTGGTGGTAGTCACCATTATGGTTCATCATAGCTCATAGCAATAATCCCAATCATACAGCCAGGTAGTGATTCAAAATCTCTTACATGATGGCAGAGATGGAACACACACAAAGATGTTTTGCTTTGAGTCCAGAGCATTGTTGAGGCTACGTGGGCAGGGGCTATCAGATACTGAGCAACTAAACACCAACAATGAATTATGCAAAGGGCTACAGGATGTTAAGATGGCATTTCACTGTTATACATTTGTAAATCATGTGGGTACTTGAGAACAAAACAGCATGCTCTATATAAATCAAAGGGCTCAAATAGCAGACACGGTACAGTACGTATTCATTTTTGTCTGATATATATCTGTAACATACTGTGTTTCATGTAATCTCAGAGTTACAATGACTCTTGCATGTAAACCCTATGTACTTTCAACACCTTGTAACATAGCTAACAAACAGCAGCTAACTCTGCTCTTATAAATAGCTATAAGAGTGAACTTAACTTGGGGTAACCAGACCCCCTTTTTCTTTAGGTATATCATGGGAAGGTTCATGGTTGAAGTATGGTTTGAGTGATACGTCCAACAACAGTTTATTAGGTAAACCAGATGTCAACAGCTTTCTTCTTGAGAGGATAATCAGAAGAGATTACATCAGGGTTGTTGCAGTGGGGGCTCCTCAAGCCTTTCCCTGTGTTTTGTTAAAAAGGACCTACAGTATTAGTTGGGATTCCAGCTTAGACGCGTCACTCATAATTCCAAACACAGCATTGTCACTTCACAACCTTGCCTCCTGAGCCAAGCATATACCGTACTGTACACCTAGAAAAGGTCTCAGGTACACAGCGAACCTCTCTTTGGAGTCTCTTGAACCAGACTGACATACTTTGAGTTGGCCTTACAGTATATTGCCTAGATGTAGAATAAGCTCTGGATGCTATTGTTAGTAGGCTGAGGATTGTATTGTACACTTGTTAATTAAACAAACAACTTGTCACGAGAGATTTGTGGTTCACACAGAAGATGTTCTTGCCTTTACAGTTTCTAACTCCTTTTTCTCACCTGTATAATTACATATGTATAACATTAATACTTAATGTATTTGGATATTATAATTGTACTGGCCCTTTCAGCCTCCTTTTGAAATGTGACACCTTTCAGTGTTAGGAAGCCAGCTTTAAAAACTGGACTTTAGGGTATTTTCAAAGTTGGTGGTATCCTTGTCAGTACTCCTCATCCTCATGCTTGTACATCCTGTAAGTCTCTTACGGAAATTTCCACTCAGTAGAATGTAAAGGAAAGGGTTAATGCTGCTGCTAACATAACTGAGGCAGATAAAAATGTAGTAACAGATAGAGTATGTCATTGTTGGCTTAGTGACATGAAGATTCACCAGCTGGATCACATGATAAGGAGCCACACTTATGAGGAAAACCCCAACCAGCACTAGGACCATTTTGGTCAGTCGAATAACCCTCTCTCTCGGGATGGTAGTATTGTACCTAAAAAACACAGACAAGTTCCAAATATTATTGCAATATGTAATTTTCTTTTCTTTAATGAATACGATTTTTTTCCATCAGAAAAAAAAGATTAATGAGCAAAGCAGCCAAAATCTTATTGGCAGATTTCACACAACCATGTCCCCTTCTTTCTTTTCCATACGTTCTTATATTATTTCAACAAACGCCCACCACCCTTTAGAGATTTCAACTGGTGATGGATGTTGTTTCTAAAAGTTTTTTTTTTCCATTAAGATTTTGGAAATATGTTCTGGTATTGTGGTGTGGTTGCATTGGCAAGTAATACTGACTCATAGCTGGCAGCCCTTGCCAGCTCCACACTGATTTGCACATCAGGAAAGTGCTGGCTCCAAATCATTTGCCCCTCATTGGGCCAGAATGAATAAATAATTCCCCTCATTGGGCTAGAATGAACCTGATGTACAGTATAAATCTATGAGGACCCACAAGACGTTATGGGCTAGTTTTAGACTTTGTTGGGCATTTGCTGGTTCATCACTGACATTTTTCATCATCAAAATCGCTTCACACACCTGTCAATGAGTGCTTTAAAAGTTGCAGTGACTACTGTTTCTAGCTCAAGCTGCTGATCCCTCAGGCAAAGCATGGTTCCATAATCATGTTGCAGTGGAAAACTCTTCTGAACTTCAGATTGATTATCTTATTAAGACATTCGCCCTAGTGTTTGCTGCTTTATTCAGTGATCCAAACCTAATCCCTAAAACGTAAGGTAAATCATGATTGAATATTTAATTATTTTTACTTTTCACACACTACAGTGTACATGTACTGTATATGTATAAACATGTATATCAAAATTACAGTAAAATGTAAATGCATGCACACACAATCCACGTGTAATATTTTGTGTATGTACAGTTTTTTATGTTTATCTGCTTCTTTTGTTCTTGATTTTGAATATATCTGTTCCTGCAGTATTTTAAAATACAAATTCAAAGTGATAAAATGCTCTGGAACCTTCTAAATCACTTCATAAGAAATGTCAACAAGCCCATACTTCAAAAGTTACTGTTAAGACCGCTGTCGCTAGTGCAGGAAAAAAAACACTTGCCCTGGCTTCGAGCGTGATGATCATGTGTTAAATCATTTGTTCCAGCATCAGTGCTTAATTTTTTAATCCTGAGCTAATAATAAAGCTCTATTCATCTTACTGTTTGATTCTAACATTGCATTCTTTTATCTTAAAAAGGAAACATTACTTATAAAAGCAGACAGATGACTTTTTCAGGTTTGTCAAATCACTTTCAAGGTTTTTTACATTCTGCCAATGCTTAAAAGACTTACAGTAGAAAAACATTCATGAAATATTTTTTAAAAGTAAATCACAAGGGGAAAATAACAGAATGTGTCTTATTAAATAATTGATATACAGTATTTGATGTTATGAAGTAATATACTGTAGTCCAGCATCATTTAAAATTAAAATTCATAAGGTACCAAGTTAATCTCATTCTCGGATTATCTGATCAAACATCGTCTAACAAAAGGTGAACACTGTTACACTGGAAAGTACACTTACCGTCGTGTTTTCTTATTCTGTTTATACATCTTCCAGGTGTAGCAAAGGATCAGAATGTAAGACAGACTAATCAAAGGCAGTGGTAAGAAGAAAGATGTAATGGTCTGATATAGTGTGTACCTGTCAAAAGTAGGAGAAATATATCAAAATTTGTTAGGAATAAAAAATGAATACATGGCACATGTCAAGAGCCAGGTAGAGGAGCAGATGCAGACCCTGCTGGTGTCAGCTCATTAGTGTCTTTGGGAAACATTCTGGGCTAATAAGGAAGAATACATACACATTTGTTTTTCCCACCCTAGTGGGCAGTGGGAGGAACTGACAGATACAGTACAGCTACAGGGCACTGGAAATGCTGTAATGAAGCAAAGTGATAAAAGGGGCTGAAAACTTCAGTTTTTCACTTACTGAGGTTTTTAATGTATTATTTTGGCGGCATATTTTAGTTATCCTGTACTTGGAAGCTGTGAGTGTCCCAGGTGAAGATTTTTCTTTTTGTTTCTGTTATTGTTTATGTCTGCTACTGGCTCTTGCTCTACAAACAGAGAAGAGGCAACCTCTTCTCTGCTGACATACTGACAGGGGTTTTCTCATGCACAGTGTTATAACAATACAGTTTCACCAGTTAATACCCCAGTGGACAATAGTTGCTAGTCTTGTGTATTATTGTCTGCTAAGAAATGATTGGCCGAATTTGAAACATACCCCAGTACATCATGAGGTGAGGCTAAATCAAAAGCACAGCTTTCTAATCCATCTCTGAATCGGATAACCTTGGAGTAGACCCAGGCAGGAAGAACCAGGATGAAGGAAACTGCCCAGATGCACAAATTTATCCGAATAGTCTTTGACTTTGTTCTCAGACTCATCAGACGGAATGGATGAACCAGAGCAAGGTACCTGTGCAGCAGAGAAAACACATTTTCTGACATTATGTACAGTATATACAGTAAACCATTTTTACAGTGATTCTCCTGTATAACAATTTTGGCTATAGATTTTCTGAGGATTTTCCACATAACATTTTCCACTTGTGGTGCTGTCAACTAAATCAGGAATGTTCTCATCCATAAGATAAACTAGATCTTGATTTACATTATTTTTAAACCCACTCTCGATTATCCATTGTTTTTATGCGTGAACCTGCTCATAAGCACATCCCACTGAGATTTATGGATTCAGAGATTTCCAATGGTTGAACAATGTGCCTCAAATTAGTTACTAGAATGTGATATAATTACTGAGATAATCCCTTCTGAAGTTCAAAACTGTCAAAAGTACAACCTCTTTTGGTTTCTTAGTCACACAAAAGGTGTTTTATAGGTGAAAAACTGATTTTTTTACTTTTTCTTACTCTTTCTTACAAGTGAGCTTTGCTACTGAAAGAGATAAACTTTTCAATTATTTGTCAAGATTATCTTCTGCAGCTGAGAGGTAAGCAGCTGATTTGAAGAGTGACTTTCAATCTCTTCTTTGGTGTCTGTCACATTGAAATCCAGAACTTGCTTTCATGAAGTTGACAATAGAAGCCCTCACTAACCTGGAGCCCACAAAGGACAGCGGTGCAAATGTACAAGGCCTGTTTGCTGGAAGAAAATATGACTATCAATAAAAATCATATATTATTGTACAGCTCTGTAATTCTAAATTCTATAGTACTGTACATCCCACAGCAAATACCTTATTATTAACTGTACAAAGCTATAGAACTTGACACATAATATTGTCCAGAAAAATAAGATGTTATGAAACAGATCACTAAAGATATTCTGTTTTTTGTTTTGCAGGGATGATTTTATGTATTTTTAAGAATTAGCAGAAGAAAATCATATTTCAAAAGCATAAACATTTTATTTTTTACAGAAAAACGTTTTACAGAGAAAACATTTTAGATTTCAGATTTCAGATCCAAAGTCTGTAAAGTTTATGCAAGAATAATCAACAGACATCAAGGATTTTCTTTTAAATGATCCGCTCAGTTATAAACCCATAGTTGGCCAACGTGCTTTTGTGGTTGTATATTGATGACCTGAGGGATCAATAAAGATTGTATACCTGCACTGGACATTTCTGGTAAATAAAATATCTACAGTGCCATGTAAAAGTATTCTGCCCCTTTCTATGATGTTCCATTTTCTGAAATTACAAAATGGCACATTTTAGTTCTGTTAAAAGTAATATTTTACTCAAAACCTGAACCTTAAAATCAAAACTTCTAACAGTAAGATAAGTTACAGTAAATGTCAGCAGAAACTAAAGGAAAAAATAATACACAGCTATTCAAACCCATGAGCTCAATATTTGGTGGAAGTACCTTTGGCACCAATTACAGCTGTTAGTCTTTTTGGGTAAGTACCTACCAACTTAGCACAGCAGGGTCGTACATTTTGTCCATTCTTCTAGTCAAGTTTGATCAATCTATCTCATGTTGCTCTAGTGGACAAGAGTTTTCAAGTCTTTCCATAGATTTTCAACAGGATTTGAGCTAGAAATTTGACTGGGCCACTCAAGGACCGGCACTTTTATATATAGCCAGTTCAGTGAAGATTTGGTCTCGTGCTTTGGGTCATTCGTTTGCTAAAAGGTAAACAATTTTGCATTTAGACCTAAATATTCAAATTTTGCCTCATCTCTCCACAAAATATTTTTTAAATATAAGTTTGCAGTATAACTTAAATGTGTTGTTGAAAACTCATTGCATGTTATGAGATGTTTGTTTTTTTGCAGTTGTTACTTCTTTCTTACCACTCTGCTATACCAAGTCATGGACTCCATCCCAGCCATTGAAATCTGTAGCTTTTTCAAAGTCACTGTTGGCTTCACGTCCCTAACCTGTTTTATCCTTGCCCAGATATTTGCAGGGACAGCACGAACTAGGCAGTGTCTGGGTAGTACAATACACTTATCATTCCTTAATGTTTAACGTGCTCAAAAGCATATTCAGTATTTAAATTTTCTATACATTGAGTGGTTTTAAAAGCTTCTTAGTCTTTATGGTTGTCTTTTCTTGAAAATCACTACCTGACTGAAAGACCTTACAAAGACAGTATTTATAATAGAATCAAAAGAACCATGACTATTGCACACAGACAGAGGCCACTCAACTAATTTTGTGGCTCTTTAACACAAGTCTGTGCATCTAAATTAATTTACACTAGTTTGCCACAGCAAAGGGTTTGAGTACCTAAGCAACAAAAACGTTTCCATTTTTCTTTCATATTGATTACACATTTACGACTTTTTTTAGTCTTGAAAGTTTGGAGTAGGTGGTGTATGTAACAAATATTAATTGCTACTTTAAAGTGTCATGAATGCAAGCTTTAAAGCAACGAATTGTGAAAAATAAATACACGTACAATCCCACTAGCCTTGACCAACACAAGGACTAAACATTATTCACAATGTTCTCCTTCACTTTTGTATTTCCCCCAAATGTTATTTGTTGAATTAAAAATACATGTAAACATAAGCCTAATTTTCAATGGCCACAATGAGCCAATGACACTGATATTTTTCATTAAAAAGCTATGCATTTGGTGGTAGAAACAACTGGATGTTTATCTTTCCAGATGAACGTTGAATTTTTCATTTGCAAGCCTTGCTCCACATTTTCAATATCAAGTGATAACCAAAAATGTGAAACTCCAATGATCATTAATTTATTCATAAATACAGTAGCTATGGGTGCAGTATATCCAAGTAAAAAGAATGGAACACATCACATTTGTATATTGTCTGTAAACCTATTTGTTTCATATATCCAGAAGGAAACCATTGTGCTGAAATTTGTCAAGCTCCAGCTTAAGTACTTGCTATACTGTAGGTCACGGTTGGTTGGAAACCACTTGCTGGATAGGTGCTTCCTCAAGAGATTGAAAGATGTGGAATTTACATCAGGGTTGTGAGGTGGGTGGTCCTGCACCCCTTTCCCATAGTCCTATAAGTGTTCACAGGTGTGGTCATCGGTGTGCGGCCTGTCATTAACGTCGGATGGACCGGAGAGATTCTCCTCTGGGAGAAAAAATCACATCAGTCAGCTGCACACGTACTGTACAATGTCCCAGCCACTCTTGAACATTACAGTACCAAGGTAGGCCTGAGTTTGCATGCAATGACAAGCATGATGTATCTGCCTTATCTATTCACAATTTTCAATAGAGGAAAACACCCAGGTTTCTGCTCATCTTGAACATCCATTTTGCTTTCATTAAAGGCTTTCCGCCTTTGCAAACGTGTTTCTGTAATGTGGCATGCAGTACATACTGTACACTTCCATGAGTTGATGCGTTTCAGCTGGTTTTGTGCCCTGTGCACACAGAAAGTGAATCATGCACCTCAGTGTTCGACCTACATTGCAAAAAAGGCCAGTCATATTTAAACAGGAACTTAGTTTTGCCCCAAACCAGTGGCATAATTCTATGGTCTACTTACAAAACAAGCAATGGTATTATATCGTTACACTTACTCAAATCCACCTGAGTAATTTGCTCTGTACTGTGAGATTTCTTGCTACAGTACTTACAATTACAATGACTTTTGTATGTTCAAGGGGGAAAATACTACTGAAGGCAAAGAACACTCTAACTCTTTTATTTTTACATCTGTTTAATGTTCTGAGCCTCTTAATTCTGCAAATCATAGCTTTTGGCTTCCAATCAGCAACAAGGACAAGTTAGCGGAGTTGGTGAACTTCACACATAATGCTGTCCGTTACTATCCTTATCTACACTGTTGAAGTTGGAACACATCTGTTTTCACATACAGTATGCAGTGTGAAGGGAACCAGTATGTTAAAGACTTTTTCATGGTAACAACTTATCATATTACAAACTCTTAATGAATTCTGACTGAATATTACATAAGTAATGCTAGAATATCTCATGCACTTCCTATGATTTTTTAATTGAATTATTGATAAAAAAGCCTTAATACATTGTTTAACATATTTCTGTTAACATTACTGCCATTTTAAAGTTAAATGTAACAACTTCCTCTTTAAGGAAACAGTTTTCATTTACAAGGTGACTCTTATTCATTATATATCGAAGCAGTTTTATCAGAAAAATCACATTTCACAATTTTCTTCCAGGCACATTGGAAATTAAGACATGCTTAATTGCAATCAATTTCATCTTCAGTGTCAGCACTCATGGCTCAATCCACCAATAACCACTAACCTCTATCTTAGTAAAATACTATAATTTAACCGTTCTCTAAATCAGCCACCATGTACTTCTAATGCACTAAAAATGTAAGGTGTAAAATCACATGGCTTGTATTTTTAAAAATTACCTATATATAATTGTGATACCTGTGCAAAGTTCAGCTTGCGCCCCCACATTGCTACAGCAATTAGCTGCGTCTGCATGAGGGCTGAAGCAGCTCCTGGACCTACCTTTACATGGTATGGGTGATTGTCAGTGTCCCATGCCTGTAATTAATAGGTACTTACATTATTATTCCTCCATTATTTCAGCCATGCTTCACTCCCTGCTCAGTGTTCAGTCATCTGGTTCATTCTCCTGAGTCTCTGTCATGCTCCCTGGCACTGCCTTCCTTTCCTTGAACTCTCCCAAGCTTCACTTGCAACTTCACTTGTGTGCCGACCTTCGCTTGCAGCCTTGGCCTTGTTCTCAGATTCCCTACAGCTTGTCGGTCCCCCGTGTTCCTCACTAAGACCCTTGCTTCCTCACTGACCACAGTTTCTGGATCTTCGTCTTAACTATGACCTGTGTTTCACCGCGCCCAGCGACCAGTGTGGTGCTTTCAGTTTCTCTTGTGCCTGCCGCTTGCTGATCACCCTGATCCCAGCCGTTGGGTTCATTCTGCCACCCTTCGGCCGCTGCACACCCCAGACTAGCACAACGTTATGGCAATAGTACAGTAAAGGGAATAATACCAGAGTTTGATGTTATAAAAAAAACAGTCACCGACTCCTGCAGTTGCCAGTGGCTGATGCACAACTTCAGCTGCAGCCTAGGACAGAAGACGATTTTTTTAATTCTAACAATTTTTCAAATTAATTGATTTTTTTTTTCCCATTTAAATATTGTCGAGAGAAAAACTCACTTTTCGTGTCCATCATATCAGGTAACCAATAAATGGCAAAAATATACTTTATTATTTAGTAAATACTAAAGAAATAAAAAGTTATTCATATACAGTGCCCCCCAAAGTATAGAATAAACTATTTTTGCTTTAAAGGCAAGCAATTCCTATTTGTTATGATTACATTTATATGTAATTATAAGATTAATATGCATCTTCTGTACAATATATTAAACATTTTATTTTTTAACAATTCCATGAATACATTTGATAACATTAGAACTAGTCTATCCACATTAGTACTTTGTGTTCAACCCAGTGATTTCAAGTAACCATACTGTAAGTGATACATTCACTTTAAATACATTTCATAAAGTAAATTGCAGTATTTGGTTGCATATCCCCTTGAAGTAATAGCTGCATGATCCTGTGGATCCAGTGTTGCCAGGGGTGGTAAAATGGAGGAATTAGTCTGTGCTGTACAATAAAATATATTAAAGATCTAGCCTTGTAAAAATACCCATTTGACTAATATCAGAAGACATGAAAGGGGGTCAGATCATAGAAAACAGCTATGAATTGTCTATTCCCAATGATATTTTCCACATTATAGGAATGAGTTCAATGAGTCTGAAAATAAACACTGGGGTTGATGTGGCCTCTGGCTGAGTTGTCATCATTTATTGTTTGCTTTCTCCCCTTCCCTAGTCCCACTATTCCAAAGTTGGAAGCCACCCAAAAAGGGTTCTTTTCAGACAGGATTATCCTACTCCATTTCCTCTGGCACTCCCATTATGCCAGTGTTCAGATGGAAGAATCCTCCCACTCAATCACCATGATCCCAGACCCTCCAGCTTCAGTCAGTGAAGTGTGTGTTCAGAATCTTCTTCTGTCCCTTACTGTATGCCCACCCAAGATCAAGTCCAGTTTCGAAGTCTGTTGTTGACATAAATTAGCTAAAATGGCTGATCTGCTTCCACAGTCACTGAACTAGTATAACTGAGTTGGTTGTGGTGAGCTCATAAATGAATCTGACAGGTACAGACGTAAACATGCAGATGTCAACAACAGACTTCGAAACTGGACTTGATCTTGGGTGGACAGAAGAAGATTCTGAACACACACTTCACTGACTGAAGCTGGAGGGTCTGGGATCATGGTGATTGAGTGGGAGGATTCTTCCATCTGAACACTGGCATAATGGGAGTGCCAGAGGAAATGGAGTAGGATAATCCTGTCTGAAAAGAACCCTTTTTGGGTGGCTTCCAACTTTGGAATAGTGGGACTAGGGAAGGGGAGAAAGCAAACAATAAATGATGACAACTCAGCCAGAGGCCACATCAACCCCAGTGTTTATGTCTTTACCTGTCAGATCCATTAATGAGCTCACCACAACCAACTCAGTTATACTAGTTCAGTGACTGTGGAAGCAGATCAGCCATTTTAGCTAATTTAGCAAAATCAGACTATTCAAATTCTTTCTTAATTGGGAAAGAGGAAGACAAAAACTGTCTATTCTTTTCAGTACAGTTTTACAGTTTTATTGTTCAGAATTCAGCTTTAGTTAGATAATTAACAATACAAATAATTTGATATTTGTAGTGTGTGTGTTTGTATTGTAAAGTAATATTTATCTGTCTGTGGAAGTCTGTGCCTTATTTCTTTTCCTTGCCACAATGCCAGGAAAACAAATCAAATGATCCACTTAGTTTTAACTCCATACCACAGGAGTCATGCTATGTAGTATTTTTTAACATTTATATTTAAGCAAACACCCTGCACTGTACCTATTTAATTAATTACAATCGGAGTTGGAACGTGCCTAATTTTGTAACAATATGAAAACAGGAGTATCTTTTTCAGATAAAGCTGGATTTTAAATGCCTTGTTTCTAAATTTAACCAGTGACAGTAAAGTAAGATCTAGTATTTGACCACAACTAGACACTTAAAATAAAGATGAACAATTTCATTTGAAATAACTTAAAATAAAGACGGAAAATTTCCTGATGTTTATTTACCTGCCATGCTATTTTGAGTGTTAGACAACAATTATAAATTAAAACATTAGTTTTAAAACAAACCTCCATAGCTTTTTCCTTCTCAAGAACATCTTCTAATCTTGCAATATAAGACTTTTTGCAGCATTATAAGTTATATACAGTATGTCACGCTGCAGACCACAGTATTCCCATGAGTGATCACATTCCTCCAGGGGCTCCTATTCGAATACATACCGGCCATCTGTCTATTTGTCCCTCCCCGATCAATCAGAAACACAATTTTCCAATGAATCAAACACAGCCCTTTCTATAAAACCCTTGAAACGCCACTGGAAAGGTGCTCTGTCATTGAATTAGCTGAGCCAGTGCAACGCCCTACTCTGCTCCAGTAGATGTGCTAACCAACGAACCAAGAAACCCGGACCTTGAGACCTGAGACCCAAACCCCGCTTGCAGCCTGTTCAGCCAGCACCTTTACTGTGACATCTTTCCCTGCCTATTTTTGTGTAGTTCCAGTTCCTGTTCATCTTCTCCCAGTCAGCCATTCCCAGTATCTCCTCAGCTAACTCCGGCAGCTGCTGCAAATCACCAAGTACCTGCAATTGGATTCCCTGCCCATCTGTGAGACGTGGCTGTCAGCAACAGCAAGCCAGGTCCTCGTTTTATAAGGTAATTATTAGATAGTGCTCCACTGAACAGATTCAAGATAGTAAAGTCAAATTCATGGAAACCTATATTTAGGAAAGTTAAAGGCAGAATGCTTTCAAGTGTTTCAGAGTCCTGAATCGATTAATATGTCAAATTAATTTCTTACCTGTCCAAGCTCATAGCTGTCATGATTGCACTGCATGTCATCTGGTTGCAGGTGTCTAGTGATGTAATAATTGTGCACAGAGCACTGCCAAACACCCACTGTCCTCCACGTGCCCACTGGTGAATCAAGAAGGGCATCACTACCACATGAACAAGATCGGCCACTGCCAGGTTACAGATGTACACATCTGGGATTGTCTTTTTTGTTGACCTGAATGAACCACAGATAAATAACGATTAGAAACTATTACAGTAAATGCGGACAGTCATCAGCAGCCTCTAAAAAAATCAGATTTCTCCCCACAACATCAAGCACTAACATATACTGTACAACTGCAACTATGCATATAACAGTAAACTGAAGGATGTTGCACTGGCATTTCATCGGACAGTAACTGGGTCATTTCTGGAACAGAAGCTCTCTTGATGTATATGAGAAGAATTGATAGTCTTTTCATAGAGAGTAATACAGTATATGTATAGTTTCTGAATTGTATTTCTATGTCTGATAATTGAGAAATGCATCAATTGCATCAATTCTACATACTGATGTAGAATGCCAGGTTTCTGAGTATTGCTTTCCATACCTTGTGATTGTGACCAAGATGAAAATGTTTCCAACTAGTCCAGCACAACATATCACTCCAATGAAGGAAGGCAGAACTATGGTCTCTGCAGCATGATGAAAGTCATAGCCACCCACTCCAGTCTGCCAAGCACTGTCCAAGCTTTTGTTCGAGTTGTTCCAGCATGGGCTGTCAAACTCATTCATTTTTCATAAAGATATAATTGTCTTTTAAATAGAAAAAGAAATAAAGTATAACAACAAAATAACAATATTGAAATAATAACAATCACCGGAAAACATACAGTATGCCAGATTCATTAATCTGTCATGAATCCTGTCACGAAACCTGTCATATTCTACTATGGCATGATTTTCATCTGTAGGGTTTCAAGTTTGCCATTTCTTTCATTCTAAAATGAGGTATAGTAAATGAGATAAATATTTCCAAGTGATGATGAACAAATTAAGAAAGGTCCATACAGAGATTCAAAGACACAAAATAGCCTTTATAGAAATGTCTGCTAAGGTGAGCTACATGTATATTCCTAATTTTGGAAAAACAGGGCAATCTTTACATCAACTGCTGCTGTTAGCGATGCGGAATTCGGTAGGTGTTTAACCCTTTGAGCCACAGGCCAGATCGGTTTTCTTTTTTTGTGTGCAGAATAACAAGAAGTTATTGTATATTGTATAACTGGAATACCTATAATAAAATAAACCGAACATAGAAAATATTAAACTGATCTCAATCATCATAAGATACACCCCCGCAAATTAAACCAACACACAGTACATTTAAACATACAGTGCTTATATTAAATTAATTAGACGCGAGTCGAAATATGAATATGCACTACCATTATTTTTAAAATAGTTGTTATACAGTACGTCCCGTATACAGACCACAGATTTTTTACTACTATGTGTACTTCATCTACAGTATACTGTACGTTGTCCGCACCAAACCTTTATAAGGTCTTCATTTAGGACAGCTCCACTTTGTGGAAAGTTTAAATTGCATTGCTTATCTTATTTACGTTATTAATTCTGCTCAATTTGTCGCACACAATGCTAAGATTAAGAAAAGCTATGTCAACTCACCGAAAGCCTAAAATGTTTAACAGGTCTCAGTCGTCTTCTGCACCTTTTTGGTATTTGAACAGCCAGGAGAGTTTGAAAAGCAGAAAAGACGCGCACGAAAACGTATTGTCCTATTCTAACGCACATCGATAATATATTTTGTTGCAGTCGGTTAAGTTCTTTTAAAGAGTGATAAAGCGGCTACCGGTTATCGCCACAGTAATGTTCATCTATCTGAACCCTGTAACGTCAGTGTTTGGACAGACGTGTGCATCAGAATCAATTGGGTGACAAGGTTATTCCTACTGCAGTACGTTCTTTATACAATAGGTGAGCGGTATCACTCAAATGTGTTATTCTAAAATGTATCACGCAGTGTCGTTATCGATCTGTTGTAGACTAGCCCGTTGGTTTTAATGTTATCAGTAATGTTTACTTAATAAACACGAATTGAGAAACAAAAACGACAAAAGTACGAACTCACCAGTTACTCAAGTGATGACTGAATCGCTTTAGGTGGATAGATCGCATTGGTTTTCTGATCCTACTGAAGTGCTCCTACTTCGTGTTGGATATGTTACTAACCAATGCTGTGTAATTTTCCTCTTCTTAACATGATCAATTCGACACAATGTGCGTAGCATGGCATTTTAAAGAAAATTGTACTATTGGAGGTCTAGAGAAATTAATTACTTTAACCTGAAGATTTCCTTTTTGCACCTTTCTCCATAAAATATTTTCAATATTTTTCTCTTACTAATAGCGCAGAAACAGGTCTTGTAGTTAAAATTCCCCAATCTGCAGCAAACTAATAGTCTAAATTGCAGTGTGGTCTCTGATAGTTATGCTGTACACTGTAGGGAGAGCACGTAGAGCCTCTGGAGAAAAACCTGTTTTAACAATAATACGGGAGAAAGCAGAGGATCTTTTCACTTAAGAGATATATGATATTTTTGTGTAATGTAATGGCATGGGAAATGTTCTTCCTTATTTTGTAGACAACACATACAGTATATACAAAAATGGCCAAATGCAAAGAATAAATTACATTCGTTCTGCTTCAGGAGTACGCTATGGAAAAACGGATATCTGACGCTTCTTATTTATATATTTTTACTTTTGTAGTCTGTTTCAGTAGTACAGTATGTATTGTAATACAGCACTTAATCCCATTTTCTATAATCGCTAGATTGTGCATTGGTTTGCTTACTTTTTTACTAAACAATTTCTGTACCACTCTACAATTTCCAGTTTTCTTCGGAGTTCAGTACTGTTTTCAGCGAAATTAATTTTAAATAAAGACGTCAATTTGGATGGATAGATGGATCAGGGTTCAGTATTGGTTTTGTCTATGATCTGTTTAAAATCAGAAGAAGGTGGTTACCTACTGCCCTACTACTTCTATATTATTTTATTCTAGGTAAGGTAGCAACTGTGTACAGTACTTAATCAAGCCTTACAGTATGTAACGCATACGGCCCCTGCGCTGTGGCGAGATCTTTGGCTCACCGGGCTGAGTGACGCGGGAGTCCCGGGTTTGAGCCCACGACGGTGCGGGACCGACCCACTGCGGTAAGGGCGCCCACCTGAACCCCCGTTGCGTTACACTTATCTATAACACATAGTAAAGCAAGACTATCTATGAACTCTGCAAATGGAAGACGACAAAAAAGGGATACTGTGCCATTTCCCCCCAAGTCTCTCCCTGTGATCTGAGTGTTTGCATGCATGTCCATGGATAATAAGCAATTTAATATGCTTATTTTTTCTCTGTCTTCATAATTTTCAAACGTTTTAGCTGTCTTTGTAGTCCTAGGAGAATTCCTCTGAAATCAGTGAATGAAATCGCGTGTTGAAGCTAAGGTACTGCTTTTGAATGCTTAATGAGTTAATTGTCTAGCACGATTTGTAACCTTGTGATTCCAGAAATACTTTATATGTATATTTATCCTGCAAGCAATACCTTTATTAACATTTCATATAATCAAATTCTTACATTTTGTATCAATATTAATTAAGAATAACAACGGAACATTAGACAGGTGTATTGTTCTGAGATCATCTGACCCTCTATAATTGCACACAGCCGGAGGCCATTTAACTAACTGTAAGACTTGTCAAAGTAATTGTGCACCAACCTAATTTCAGTTTGCCACAGAAAAGTAAGTGAATACCTTTACAGTCAGTACTGTCAGTAATGCCCAAACTTAGGTTAGTTAGTTGGACCCTATGCGTGGCCAGAGAGGCGGTTGAATGAAAATCCGAAACAAAGCAAAGGTATCCAGATCGTTTGTCAAGAGCGATGTCTAGGATACAAAGCTAAGGTCGAGAGAGAACTAGAAATCAGGATTGAAGGGTAGAGTAGCTCTAGCTGAGAAAAGTCTCAGTGGTGAGTGAGGACGGATTTAGGAGACAGGGTTTAAATAGGAAGGAGTGTGGTATCAATTAGTACATGAGTATGTGCAGTGCAGAGTGCGTGTGGGTATGTGGTGGTGCGATTTGTGACAAGTACATTTTCGTTTTTCATTGTTCATTGCAGATTTTGCTGAGATTTAATTTACACCTATACAAATTCAGTTTCAACATGCATGTTTTAATTAGAAAATGTATATGACATCATTGGAAGGGGCTGATTATTTTTAATAAAAATATTTTATAAATACCATTCAAAAGGTGCAGTGTTAGGAATACTGTCAGCCAAATGCAGATATCAATTGTAATGTACTAAATAATGAGATCCGAAACGTGTAAAAAAAGAAAAAGTTATTATGGGAGTGTTTTGTTTTCCTCACATAGACTGGGAAAACCTGAGCACTCCTGGAAAGTGAGTGGATTGTTCTGCCAGTTAGATCACTACATTGGTATCCTGATCTTGTATATGTTTTTGGAGGTCTTGGAATTATGGACTGAAACTGTGTTGTTGTTGTTTCTGTCAGCAGTGTTTCAGTCTCAGATAAATTGTCATTGTGGGTAGGTCTGGTGCCACAGTTGACCTTGTGATATCTTTAACACAATCAAATTTGGAGCATGCTGTCAGATTACTGTTCCTCTGATGCCTTTGTCAGAATCTTAACATCATCTCTATCTTTCAGCTGTGACAGGGATCTTGTACCATGTCTCAAATTGTACTTTTTTAGCTAATGGCAGAGGGACCCCATGTTTTTTGTAGCATTTGGCCGTCTTAACTCACAGTTCCTCATAGGTAGGGTCTTTAAGAAGCTCACTGCGGTTTTCGTCCAATGTGTTCTGCGCTGCAGGGAAGCTTTAAGCTATTTGGGCAAGATAGATGTTGGTGTGTTCTGCAGGAGCAGGGTCTATATCAGTGAAATTGTTGGAACATGGCATCCTTAACAGCATATTTGTCTGTGAATGATTTCCCAGTCAATGGTCAATGGTGTATGAGAATACCATGAGCCGCATTCTGAATCTTTGTAGTTGTAGTGGTAGATCAATCGAATGTTTAGTGCTTAGTTAGTTCCCAGGTGGCTTGTGGACTGTCTGAAGAAAGAAAAGAAGTCAGGCGAGGTAACACTGAATCTTCTGCATGGCCCCACAAGTGGTAAAGTCTCTTTCTGTATTTCTCAAAGAGCATATCACTGCTGTGTTGGAGTCAATGTTCTTGACACATACAGTACAAGGTGTGCTGCTGTTTTCCAAGTCCCATTTTTGTTTTGCATGAGGATACCACCTAAACCAATGGATGACGCATTTGCTGCAACTTTAGTCTCCTTGGAAGGGAACAAAATTCTAATGTTGGGGGTGAGATTAGTTTAAATTTTAATAATAATAAGTGCTCCTGAGGTACAGTATATCCCAAGTCCAAAGGTTTCTTTGTGAAAGAAGGTTATACTAAGGTTTCGTTTTCTCTGCTATATCACTAATTAACTTTCCAAGCTTACCGTGGCTTCCAATGCCATGAAAGCTGCACACTTCAGAAGCATTGGTTGGCTGTTGTATGTTCTGGATTCCAGCCAATTTATCTGGGTCTGGCTGAATGATTCATTTGCACCTGGAAAAGGTCAGGAGCAAATGAAATTCCTACAGGAGGTCTTTTGAAGGTCTGGTGCCCATAAAGTGTGATGAATGTTGTCAGCATTGGAGACTCCTCTGTGAGGTGGACCTGCAAGAAACCTGAATTTGCCACGAGCTTGGTGAAGAGTTTAGCTCTTCCTATCATGTCCAATGTGTGGTCCACACATGGAGGGAGGAATTGTTCTTGTCTCATAGCCCTTTTCAGTTTTGTCAGATTCACACAAATTCTTACTGTGCCTTCGGGTTTGGGAGCAGTGAAAATTCCCCCACACCAGTCTGTTGGTCCATCCACCTCTGTGATGACGTTGAGCTTCTCTGTCCTGGATACTTCATGTTTGACCTTCCTCATCAGTCACCAGTGGGACTGGTATTTGCTGTAAGTTGCTCCTGGCTTCAGATGTCCTAGCCTGTTCAGGACACTTCTCTTTCCATTCAACCTCTCAAACCATTCAATGGCATGTCTTCCCAGCATAGGTGTGAATAGATTATGAACCACATAGATGTTATCTATAATTTTTCTCCCATTCTTTGTGATTTCAGCTGAAAATCTCCCTTTCACATCTAGTGTGTTTCTGTGTGGCCCATCAGTACTTTTTTGGTGTTGTTGTTAGACTGATGCCTGTCCTCTTTGCCAGTTGTCTTACACTGCCGCAGGAATGGCTGTACCATCTGGTCCAGTGTAGCAGAACAGGTGTACATCGTCTTTGTATTTTGGAACCCAGAGGATAAAGGAATGTTTTCGTCTCATGTAAAGCACAGTCATCTTTTATCTTAAACTTGAAATGACCAGTTATTTTTCAGTGATAACATGTGGCCCACTTTACATGACTCATGCAGCTGGATGGGTTTCAAGGGTTTTTGACCTGCTTGCTTTGTTTTAAGGAAGCTCTGCTATTATCTGTTTCAGCATTTTTTTTCAAATCATGGCCTGTCTGTACTTATCTCTCTGTACAGCTTTCAGCTTGAATTCAGCACCCCCCTCCAGCTGCCAGAGCTCTCCCTGCTGTTGGCAAGTGCTCCCACTCTGTCTGCTCATAGCAATGGCTTTCTCCAGGTTTAGAGTGGCAAGCAGCTGAAGGCACTCTGGCAGCTTAGTCTCCTGAAGCCCCACCACAATTCTCTCTTTTATAAGGTCATCTCTC